GTTTCAGAGGCTGCCATGCACTGCGGTAAGTGGCGGGCCCGTATTACTTACCGTTTATCCCCTACTAGATAGTCTAGAGTACTGCCGCGTAGCCACTACGGCCAGTATGGCAACAGTAGAAATTCAGTTCAGTTCAGTTCAGTTCAGCGCCGCCAGGCGGGCCTAAATAAGTCTAACCACACAGACCCAAAGTGGGACTAGGGCCGGGCTGAACGCAGGTGAATGAAGGCACACCATTCCATTCCATCCGTCTTCCCTCCCTATGACGACAAAAAATTCCTTCATATGAGCCCAGCTATGATGCTATTATGAACGATATGTATCTGACCTCCCTTGACGATAAGATAAATTGGAGCTCCGGCTATGATCCTATCATATATTAGTGGCATCATTCTGAACTCCCTGCCCTCTCCCTATCTATCCCTTGTTCTGCACCGCCCTAAAACTTATCATCCCTAGCTGCACACGAGCCTTCACCGAACGACGCAACGAACACTTGACGAATTTTGAAAAAAAAAAGACACTGAGCAGGCCGCCCACGCGGGTGCCGGGAGCCGAACCCGGATCTGCTGCTCGAGCTCGCTGAACTCTGCAATGAAAGCAGCCGTAATCCAGACCCACTCTTTCCTTGCCTTCAACTCCTCCCCAAGTCCCACTCATCAGAGCAGATCATAATTTATATCACCGCCGACGTCCAACTGCCAGAACAAGATAAAAAAAACATACGCACCCGCCATTCCTCCTCCCTCGCATATGACGATACAAATAAAATCGAGCCTTAGCTATGATCCTATATACCATTAGCAACTCCTCTGAGGCTCTGACCACTCCCTCCCTCTTTCTCTATCCACCTTCTTGCATCCTACTAACACCTGCCATTCCTCGCCACACACATCCCGTAATGGAACGACGCCACGAATACTCAGCTGATTTAAAAAAAAAAATCTCACTCCAAAACACGTAGATATCGGCGGCCGAACCTGTTCCGGAACGCAGCCACCACACCCTCTTCTTCCCCCAAGCTCCATCATCTGCGCAGACTGTAATGTATATCACCGCCAAAGTCTAACCCCCGCACCAAGATTAAAAAAAACGGTACGCGCCGTTCCATCCCTCCTCGCATATGACGATACAAATAAATCGAGCCCCGGCTGAGATCCTCTGGTTCCTATCATATGGATTGGCTATACATCTGAAATTCCCTCCCTCATTCTCTATCCATCTTTTGCTGCGCTACTAACTAACTCCGGTCATCCATAGCCCCGCGAATGCCTCGACGGGAAATATGAATAAATAATAAAAATGCCACAGGAGAGAACATGTTCGGTTTATGTAGGTGGGTCCATTTCAACCAGGTGAATGCCGCCTAAAAAAAAAGAAAAGGAAAATGGTGAAAAGGAACAGGTTGATGTCGTTGATATGTATGCCCGCGCCGGGAGTCGAACCCCCCAAGCTCTCGGCAGCATGCATGGTAATTAAAAGCCGCTGTGTTCCGTACACCACGCCCGCTCCCTCCCTCGCTTTTGATCCTCCCCTCGTACGACACCCATGGAATACATTCACCCTCCCATGCTCTGTGCATATATTCCTCAGCGAGTCTTATGCCTGCATTAATATTCACCCTCTACATCTAATACTCAGGCCGAGTCCCAGAGAACTTCTCAGGTGCCCAAATCCAAATCCAAATCACCCGCCGAGAAATCAAGGCAGAAAAAGTAGGGAACTCAGGACTATGCGGGTGCCGGGAGTCGAACCCGTTCTGCTGCGCTAAGATCTCGGCAGCAGTAATTAAAAACAGCTGTGTTCCGTACACCACACCCGCTTCCTCCCTTCTTTGTATCTTCTTCCAAGTGAGACTCGTTATTAGAGGAGATTCAGCTTGTATTCAGCCGCATTCTTACCACAGCCTGCTCAATATAATGTTACAACGTATTCCTTATATCGCATAAGTTTAGCTTGTTGGATTGCGTTCCCGCGTTACTAGGAGAAGGAGAAGGTGTCTGATTCACCCATGAGCCGCCTACGAAATCAAGGCAGAAAAAAAGGGAAAGTACCAGCCTATGCGGGGCGCCGGGAGTCGAGCCCAGATTTGCTGCGTCAATTAAGATATCTATACTAGAATCGAACAACTTTCGTTGAGAAATCTGATTGGCCGAGACAACTGTCAAAACCTTGCTTTTGAGAAAGCTGATTGGCTGAGACAAATGACAATCACTACCGGACAATGCTGAGTCTCCGAGATGTTGAATTCTGCACAATTGCTCCACTCGGCTGTCGACTTTCTATTTATAATTGTCAAGTTAGTCACTTTGAGTAGACTACTCAGTCAACAAGTCTTTCGGCTCCCTATGAATACACCAGACAAGATTGCGGCCACTGCTTTCTGAATGTGAGGGCGGGTAGGTGACTATCTTCAGTGTTCATGGGCAATGGGGAAGGGTAGGTGTTCTCTAGATAAGATGCTGAGTTTCACCGTTCAATTTTGATATGGCTGCAATAAATCAGGCACTGTACACGAGGCCGCGAGGAGCCAACCGGAGGTTGGCGAGGAACAGCATCTTTCCTGTGTTTAATTTGATTTAAGTCCACGGTGAAGGATAACTGTGAGTAAATATCAAATTTAACCGTCCATGAGGCCGCGAGGAGTCAACCGAAGGTTGGCGACAAGCAGCATCTTCAGTATGTGGTATACTTGCATAAAATTTCAATCTGGCTGACCTTCAATGCCCAATGGATAGTACACAATTCAATCTGTAGTGTAGCACGGGTTATTGCTAGTAATAATAATGAAGACAGCCGTGTTCCACACACCACGCCCGCCTCCTTCCTCCCCTTCGCCCCTCATCTTATTGAAGACATTCTGACCTGGTAAATATGTCCATCCGCTGTCCCTCTGTACTTAATTCGGCCCGTTGCAATGGACTCAACTGGGCTGAGTCGATCCAAAAATGAATGATATGCCAAGAAGAAAAGGACCTCCGAGTCCAATCGACGTGGACCAAAACACGGGGAGCACAGACAAAAGCCAATGCGAATGAGTTATGCGGGCGCTGGGATCCGAACCCAGATCTGCTGCTTTCCACTGCGGAAGACATAATGAAGGCAGCCGTGTTCCGTGGGCCACACCCGCTTTCTCCCTGCCTTCTTACCCTCATACCATGGCACATATTCCCCTTCCCACATATTCATATATTCTCATAGACACGATGCAGCATCTTGTACTCGGATTGAGCTTTTCAACACATCTAGCAATGCGTCTGAGCTCCGAGTGCTCGTGAGCCTTGCCTGCCGCGGCCATAGACGGGAGGGGGGGGGGGTCAAGGGCATGGTGTTGTGTGAATCGCGGACGCACCACTGAGCCACACGCTCCCATCACTCCCACCCATGTGCGGCGCGCACCGGCTAGACAAGGCTGGGGATCACCTGAACGAGCCCTACGGCCTAATGGGGTGATGGCGAGGGTCTGCGGCAGCACATGGGGAGGGCAACAATACAACAGCAAATGCCGGGCGCGCTCCCGAGACACACATCGCGCGCCGGCGTATTTGCATCGCTGCGCGCCGCGCCTGCAGGCCGCCGCAGAAGAGACTAGGGCTTCCCGTACAGTCGACAGTGCCTCCATCCGCGCCGGCGCCAACGCGCACCGCAGCTCAGAGGGGTTATCTCGTCTCGGGACAAGGAATACAGACGAGAAGATCAGACTCAAGAACAATTCTGACGCACCGACATCAGAAGCGCACGATTGACAAAACGCGTGCGCGCGTCAGGACGCAATTTTGAAATGAGGAGGGAAGGGGTTGCGTACCGCTCGCTGTGAATCATTGTCCGCATCTCACGAATCGTCAACCTCTTCTCCCGCCCGTCATCTGCTCTATATCCCCGTCCGCGAGAGGGTTCTCTCCTCCGGTTCCAAGTTGAACTCGAGCTCACCCTGCTCATACTCCCGCGCGAGCTTGCACTTATCCTGTGCTGCCCTCATCCGCCTACCCTACTTGCCCCATTTTGCTTTCTACTACATAGCCCGCGCACGATTTTCGCCTCTCTGGGCCCCGACACCCATATCCACACCCGCTCTCCGTAGACCACCCCACCCCACCTCGCTCATGCCGGTGTTAATCTGCGGTGATCATGACGGATGGCTGCGGCCGGGCGGGATCGTACGTGCTTTCGAAGGCTGTTTTTTGGTTGAATTGAGGCACAATCGACCAAAGCGCGTGTTCATTTTACTATCGACTTTATGTATCTGGTGCTTACACATTTCAGTGTGAAGCTGGGCGTCTCGGGGTTAGAGTCGTGAGTGCTGTTTTTTTTTGACTACTTATATATTTCTTTCGGCCTACATATATCCCGAATTGCGAAATCCTTCGGAATCAAAATCAACTAACTTTCATGACGAAACGGTAAATATTTGCTGTGCAGAAATCATGACCTCCTCCTACTCCTCCGGTATCCTGACACATGTGCAGGTAGTCTCAAAAAAAACAGGACAGGCATGGAACATCGTTGTGATTATGGCTGATGTCAAATGGGGGTGATCATAAGGAGGGAATCGCGGTTGACTGGAGAATTTGAGAGAATTAGCGATTTAACTGGGTCGTGATCGTCGCTGAATGCATGCAGCGGTGTAGGTATGTGTAATTCAGACGAATTACAAGCCACAGTGCACCGGCCTTGGTCCTGTGTGCTTCGGCCGCCTAGGGCTAGTGGAGTAATAGGAGAGGGTAGCCTCCATCTGGAGATTCTGTATGAACAGTGGGGTTACCCTTCCGCCAAGCCGTGCGTTGGAGTGGAAGATTAACGAAGCGATTGCGGGTTGAGTCAAGTTGAGTTCAAGTTGATATGCATTTTGTTGCTATATGTCGCCGCTTTTTGGTTTCCTAACGTACTTGTCTCCTACTCGTCATTTTACTATACAGTAACCCTAGCCAAAATGCAATCACGCAGCGAACAACTCTGACCGTTTCCTGCGCGGGCGGCTGGCCGTCATCTCTATTTCCCCCGGGCGGCTATCATCACCAAGGCGTTTAGCACACTGCCTCTGTATGTCAGCGCTATGTCAGCGGGGTCATATGAATGCTCCTCGCACTGCTCGTTAATGTCACGCCTTGCTGGGGGTCAATGTCAACCTGAACAGTCGAAAAATCAGATCGATATACAAGGCTTGTCGAAAAAGTTCGAAGAAGACGTGGACTCACCGTGTGGTGGAATCTATATTACCGGTGTCACTGGAGGGGATGGTTAAGGTGGCGAGACCCACAGCGGACGACGCGCCGCCACTGGCCATGGACGCAGACCTGCCCGACCTCCGGATGTTGAGATTCGCGAGCTAGGGGAAGGTGAACCGCGTCCCCGCTGATCCGGACACAAGACCAGCGCACCATACTGAGCACGTACGCACGCCCAAGCGTGTACGCGATACCTGTGGAGACTATCAAGCGCAGATGGGTCTAATGCGCAACATCAAACGAACTCGGAAGACGGACTAGTGGTCTCCTCCTTCAACAGATACCTAAAATTGGCAGCCACGGTTCAGTCTTGTAAGTTGATGGTGAATCTTAGCAGCGTATGGGACCTACGCAATGAGAGTCGCCACGGCAAGCGTGGCCGTCGCTGTCCCGGTCCGGATCGTCAACGCCACCAGCCGGTCCAGGACACTGTTAAGTTCCAGGGCGACGATTATGAGCCATGCGTTTCTCCGCAATGAGCGTCACGGTATTCCGCACCTCCGTTTGTCCGCCAAAGTGGGCCTGGCCTTCCTTAACTCCCAAAGCAGGGCCGCGGCGATGCTGAGGTCCGCCACGGCTTCGGTCACCAGCCAGATCCTGATAAATCGACGGGGAATGAATACATAAACAGCAGAGCTTCATGGCCATGGCCACGGTGAGGCACGCACATTACCGGAATCCTGATCTTCTCGCGCTCCTTGAATGCGGGGAACTTCGCGACTATCACGCCACATGCAAATACGGCTCCGAGCTGCGTACGGCAGACAGTGGGTACGACGCGGTACGCAAGAAGACAAACGCCTGCGTACTGCGACAATGCTCAAGAAGGAATTTAAAAGAGTGACAAGGATGTTTCTGGTGCTAGATCGATATTTTTGAGAGAGGGCGAGCGGTAGAAAAGATGAACACACACAACCACCAGTATCGGACGACTAGAAAGCTCTGAACCAGGACAGCAATCACGGCGGTGGTGAAGATGAATAGCAGGATGGGCTGGAATGTTGCAATTATTCCACGCCTGAGGTTCATGCTGCTTGACGTACCCAATGCTGGTCGGCAAGATACCCGGGATCGCCTGCATGTACATCGTAGGCGGTCATTCAGGCCGTTGATAAATCTGAGACATACTAGCATGAGTTATTGTGTACTGTTAAGGCGCTCAGCCTGCGCTTGTGAAGCCCAAAATGTGAGCGCTTACGAGATATACGCAGGCATAGTCGCCCACTGTGGAAACAGTGTCGAGTAAGAGGGCGACCGATACAAACGTCTGTTAAAAAAAGAGTCCGGGAGGAATCAGGTTCAAGGCAGAAGGAAATACCTTCAACTTCCAATCATCGTGCTTGAAATGTCTAAAGTAGTACCTGGCCTGAATGAGTTCGGCCATATACAGAAACTGGGCCAGACTTTGAGGGTCGTGCTCGAGACACGTAGAATACAATCCAGTGCTCACGGAGTTCGCCCAGGTCGCAATGAGAAGTGCCCTGCAAGTCAAAATGAAACTGTCAAACTAGGAAGCTAGGAGCGCCGAGAAGATTGTACCCGGTAGTGGTGTTAAGGTCGGGGAGAGAGTTGGACATTGCGAGAGGGATGAAAACCA